CGATCGTGTCCATCGCCGCGATGGATGGTTTCTTCGGAACATCTTGGTACTTAGTCGTTTTCGCACCGCGCTTCTTCGTCTGGGGTCATCCACCGTCCCAAGCGTTACTTAGAATTTCGTGTCGCGGGAATGGGTACGACGCTCACCTGCACACCGGTCTGCTTCGTGTCAGCAGTTCGACGTCTGTCAGGCTTACTTCCGCCAGCCTGCCAGAAGATATCAGATAAGTATGACCTAGGACACATCCGCGATCCTCACCCATTCGGACGCGGACATCCCCAGGCGTGTGCCGCACCCCCCACGGTCGTAGTCGCTGTCGCTGTCTGATTCCTGCTCTTTATCTTGTCTCTCCTTCTTCAGCTGGGCGGCATGGTCAGAACCAGCCACGCGCGGTCCAGATAGAGTACACTCACCTCAATGAGGCGGGTGATCCGTCGCGCGAGTTCTAATGCGTCCAACGCAATGCCCCAGCCGTCCAGGTTCGCATGTTGGGTTCTTATGAGGACCATAGCACCACGTGAACCGCGTCAGCGACCAACCACAGCGCGTCATGCAGAGTTGAGGTGGACGTGAAGGACGAGCGGCTGGGAGACCATATATACAGCGTGCCTTCGTCGTCGAGAGTGGACTTGAGCGAAGAGGTGAGCGTCTTCTCGTCGGCGTGGTCGACAAACACCCGGGCCTATATCCCCTGCATCAGCAGACGATACACTGCGCTGCCACTTTGCTCACCTTGTGCCACTGGATCACCAAAGGAACGTCGTCGGTAGCGTCTCGCATCATCACCCGTATGACATCTTTCCAGTGAGATGATCTGCCCGCACTTTCCTCCCACATCCGCGCGTAGATGCCGAATTCGAAGCACTCTCCCGCCTGCGCACGCACCCATATCCATCCCGCGTGATATGGCTCTAGTCGGATCTTCGTACGCAGAAGGGCCTGCCAATCAAAGGCTTCCCACAGCTGCATCTCCATGATCCGATGGTGTGTGTAGCGCGTGGCGATCGCGCTGATCCTCGTCAGGTCGACCATGCCTTGTTCGAGCTTCACGGTGGCGACGTGGATACTATGGCCCACCACGCCCTGTAGCTATGTCAGCCGCGTCGGGTGTCTGCAGCTCTGACAACGCTCACGACATTCCAAACCACAACGTTCGCTTCTTCAAGGTCAACCGTAGTCTGTTTCACGGGCGTCATTCGTATCGCTTCGAACACTCCATGTGGAAAAACATACCTCGCCATTGTACACCTCGTCCGCCCTGTGCCTTTTCTCCTTCTCCCACGGTTGTCCTTTCTTTTCCTCTTCGGGGTATTGGGGTGGTGGCGGCGGCGGCGGTCTGAATCTTCATCGTCGCTCTTGCGGTCGTCGCGGTGGTGGTCATTGTCGCTGTCGCGCCCGTGGCCGTCGTCGCGCCCGTCGTGGTCGTGGTCGTGGTCATCGTGGTCGTCGTGGTCGTGGTCGTCGCCATCGTGGTCGTCACGGTTGTGGTCGTCTTCTGATGAGGAGGTGACATGTTCCTCATTGAGGTCCTCGGCATCTTGGTGGGGTGCTTGCGCCTCTTGCTGAAGTGCCTCATCGATCTTTCGCTGGCGCTCGATCTTCAAGAGGATGTCATCAGGAGGCCCCGTCTGTGTTGGGTAGAACCTGCAGCGGTCGGACCCCCTCCGCTTGTCGTGCTGTTACTTCGTTTCAGTACTCGAAGGAGGACAGCACAAGACACTCACAACGACAGGCTCCATGGCTGCTGAGCGATGACAGGTAGGGGAGACGATAGGAGGTGGTGAGCGGGGACGGCGCAAATTTGGGCGACGCTTGCGTTTCGAGGCACTTCCTCTTTCGGCTTGCGCGATCGAACGGGCCGTGCTACCTTTATGTCCCTCCTCCGAGCCGACTCTCAGTACGTATCCATCTACCAGGGACACATGCATTGCATTTTTTGTTCTACTGAGAACTGCTTTCAAAATTCGCTCAATGCCTGAGAACGCCACGACGGCGTCCTCAGGACGTCTCTCTCTATGTATATACTCGGCGCCGAAGTAACAGGGTCTACATATCACAATGGAATACAACAGCACTGTATCGCCGTGGACTCTGATACGAAACTGCTCGCTTCAAGTGCCGAGCGACATCACTGTCCGAGATCAGCTGCATGAACGACACTTGCTGACTTGAGACTCACTCATGAACGTGTTCAATCCACGTTACGACGAGCCAAGCGGTCGCGCTCCTCTCGCTCCAGCCGGTCAATGAAGGGGCCACATCCCCAGGCGTCCGTGTTGAGTGCGCTTCGTATGAGCAGCATGTGAGAGTCGGCATCGGTGACTTGGTCGTGCACAGTGCGGGAGATCCATGTCGACGTCTTGGAACACCAGGTCATGACGTCTTCGGAGAGGTCTATCGCTGCGTTGAGGCGTTTGCAGTGTTGGATCACATCGGAGAAGGTCTTCCCCACTTGTGAGTTCATGTGGCACAACGATGGGCCGCCGTCGACATTCTGGATACGTTAACGCAGCATAAGAAAGCAGGTTTGTGCGCTCACCTTGGTCCACACAACAACGGTGTAGTTGATAATCGACATCATCTCGTACCATCCTCGGTACTCGACAACATCGAGTACTGCATTTCCCCGTCGAGTCGAGTCGTACCTTCCGATAATGTTCCCGAAGTTCTTGCAGACTCTATCCCAGTTTCCCACCCGTACCAGCATGATGGGGAGGTCTTGTACCACCACTACTTCGTCGTCGAAAGAGGCCAACGCCCAGTTACCATCCTTCCAGAAGCCCACCGTCGCCGAAGTCTCCGCCCACCTCCGCAGGAGCGCGCGCAGGCGTATCCGATGATGCGATCCCACGGCTTGAGGAAGCTCTCTCCGCGTCGTAGCCTGGCACACAAATCATTAGCCAGCAGATCGTATGAAGGAAGGCGCGACATACACCCGTGTTGAACACGTAGACTGTAGCGACCCATGCGTTTACGACGGCTTTAGGGATGTGCAGCGTCTTGTTTGGGCCGGCGGCGTCGGTATGGCGTGAGTGGGTCGAGGGAATAGTCATCACCGCTGTCTGGCTGAGGTGAAGTGGCGATGAGTGGTGGGGGCAGCAGCGCCGACAGGGTGCCGTTGGGCAGGCGGTCGACGACAGGGAGGACGACTCCCTTTTCGAGCGACATCCGGATTCCGCGTCCAGGCCCTCATCGGGACGGAGCCCGCATTGCGCTGATCGCGTCGTGCGCGTCACACACGTTGCCAATGCTGATATCTCTACATGACGATACAAAAAGGTGAAACATTCGCGCTCTACAGTGGCTCACACCCCGTCGTTCACTTGCTTGTCTGCGGGATGCACGCTTTCAGACATAATTCCATCGCCCCAGGCACGAGCTCACCTTGGCCCTCTTGTTATGGCCGCCTTGCGATTCTTGCAGCCTCTGCGCGTGATTGATCAGTCCCGTCTCCGCGCAGGAAACACATGAAACTCACCTTGCTCGCAGACACGATGTCCTCCGTCGCCACAACCACCTTGTTGTGTTTTTCCAGCTGTTCTATGAACCGTCCGGCGAAACGCGCGCGTTCGTTCTCAGCGTGACGGAGCAAGAGTGTCTGGCAGCATATGTCGTGAACGTTCGCGTCTTCGTTACCGGTTATCCAGGATGAAGCGCTGGGGTTCTGTCATGGGACGAGTCTAGATTAGATTAGATATGTTAGCGTAATCTCTCTCTCTCGTCCGGATCAGTTCTTTGTTCCGTTCATGTATATAAACGCGCTCCGCAGGAGCGCGGCACGATCCTCACTCTACTCTTTACCACCATCAGTCCGTGTGTGTTTCTTTGTCCGTTCGTCCGTCCCTTAAGTCTCGTTCATCGCGTCGCCTCGAACACTCGAGCGACGATCCAAGGGCTGTAGCCTTCTCTCGAAGAGCGCCCTGTCTGAACAACTGAGTGACTACGACGATCGTCAGGAGGAATCCTACGAACCGCTTCGCTGGAACTTAACAATTGGTGGACACCCCGAGTTCCTCTCTCGATCGTCTCTCACCATGGCTCAACGTAACAACAAGAAGAAGAACAATCGTCATCAATCTATGCCCCAACCAACTACACCCTCGCCACAACTCGCTGCTCCCACTAACGGAGTCATCAACGGCCACGAGCCGCCGGACGAGACTGATCGTCGCCCACCCGAGACAAAGACACCCACTCCAATTTCATCCCCTACCCCGATCGTTTCGCCGACTCCAATCACCATTCCACCTCCCAGGATCACAGTCGAGACGAAGTGGCCCGGCGAGAACCTTCACACACCCCGGACATCGTCTCCATTGAGCACCGTGCACTCGGGAGTGGCATCAGTCGCATGGGATGGGTTCTTTGACATCACGAGCGCCACGGAAACACATGCCATAGAATATCGTGCGGACAGAGTTACCTCAATCCACGGCTCCGTCTACAACTATATCGGCGATATCTTGCAAGACCTGGAACGCAAGAAGTTCGTGATCACCGCATTGAAGGCTGGCCATGAATACACAGGACGACAGACACTCCGACCCAGCAAACAGAACCATCTCCGACTCGTCCTCGGAAGCGGAGTGTTTCGCAAGGAACGTTACCTTCTCCTTGACATCGTGGCCTCTCCGCGCATGCTAGCAACGAGGAAGGATCGTCTCTGGCCTGATCCTGTCGACATGGACGAGCTCGCCCTCATGTTGGGACAACGTCGCGCGGAAGCCGCTCCATCCTTTGTGATCGCCGATAGACGACTTCCGCTTGTTCCCGTTTGGGGCCGAGACAGCACGACCTGCATGCGGATGCATTCCGAGAGTAATTACGACATCCTGTCTGTCTGCTTTCAACGCGAAGTCGAAAGTTTCCTACAAACGTTAGCCGACGTCCACACCTTCACTGAGAAATCCGAGCAGCCCGACGATGACGACCTGCCTGCTCTGCGACTCGGCGAACCCGAATCCGTGAACGAATTCCGCCCTCCTTCCCCCGTCAACGGCTTACGCACACCAAACGTCACCTACCAGCAGTGTGCCGAAGAACACTCACTGACGCGGGAGGAACCTCAGACGAAGTTCTACACCCCCGCAGGGATGCCCGAAAAGTGGCCGACTCCTGCCAAGGAGATCGTGGGGAGAGCTCTCACGCGAGCACAAGCCGCACTCTCGACGCAAGGCGCACTACGGCAGCATGAGGTGTCTGAGATCAAGCCCGTGGCAACACTGGCTCGTCACGAGTATCCCACAGATACGACGTCCCTCCGGAATGAATACCACGAGGAGTACCCACCGATACTCCGTGATGCACCTCCGCATCTCGTGAACATTGTACCTATCGCGCCAATAGAACACAAAGCAGAGACGTCACGAGGAGACACGCAGGCTCGCTGGGGAGGATCACTCCAAATACATCCACCTGTGCACACCGCAGGACTGCAACAGATATTCGGGCAGGAGGATCAGCCTCGAGCACCAGAACCGCGTATTGCGCAGTCATTGACGTACAACGCGGACTCGAGCTGGATGAGCACCCCGTCTTCAATCCGCGTGACGACTTCCTCTGATCACGAGGCCCATCCTGACACGCGCGTGGACCGTTCCTCTCCGGGCAACGTGATTCACCCACACCAAACTGCGGGGACCCCGACGCAAACAGAGCGACCAACGGGAGCCTTTTGGATGGAGCGCCCCACAGCTCAAACACCGGGACTGTTCCAACCACACACGATGGGTTATCACTCCGCGACCTATAACACGAAGAGGAGTACCTCGCACTCACAAGGGCTATACTACGGCGATAAACACCAGTACTATGGGGTTCGATACAATGAACAGACCGGAGGAGGACCTCCTCACGGCGGATCGCCCAGTGGAGGAGGACCTCCGTTCAACAGCCCATCGGGAGAGAGAACCCCGCGTGACAGACTCCCTGGCAGAGGACCCCCGCACGACGGACCTCCAGGAAGAGGATACCCGTGCAGCGGACCACCCGGAGGGGGAGGACCTCCAAGCGGAGGATCACCTGGAGGAGGCTCCCCTAGCGGAGGCCCACCGAACAACGGACCACCAGGAGGGGGTCATCCATACGTCGGACCGCTCGGAGGAGGACCACCACACCGTGGACAACCTGGGGGAGGACCTCCACACGGTGGGCCGCCCGACGGAGGACCTCCGCACGGCGGGCCACCGGGGGAGGACCTCCTCACCGCGGACCACCAGGAAGCGACGCGCGCGACACAAGGGGAAACCCACGTCCTGATGGAGGGAAGTCATCCCTTGGAGTACGCTTTGACATGAAAATGAAAGTCACCGAGGTCAACACATGGGACGGAGATACCTCCAAGCTCGTCAAATGGCTGATCTACATCAACGGTCTAGCCAAGATCTCAGCGGACGTACAGGAACAGCTAGGACAGGTCGTACCTCGACGACTGGTGGGTCGCGCAGCAGACTGGTACGACTCCCTTCTGGAGGATCTTCGTAGGTGGTGCGAGCTGGATTGGTCGAATCTGCGATCAACAATAGGCAAATACTACATGAGCCCATCATGGATGGAACGCACCAAGAAAGACGCAATCGCTGCAAGGTACCGCGACAAGGGCCACGAGAAGGAAACCCCAAGCGAATACTTCATTCGCAAACGCGAACTGATCCTCTTGACGATGCAAGCCAACGACCGAGACATCATCAGCTATATCTCGGAGACGGTACCGACAGCGTGGCATACCGGTATCCTGCGCTGGTCCGACTACAGAACCGCAGCCGAGCTCCAGATGGACATGCATCTGAACGAGGAGCATCTCATGAAAATGGAGACCTTCATGGGAGAAAGAGATTCGTACTCACACAACCGACCACATTGGAAACCATCCGCACGCGTAAACGTGGGCACAAGCGAAAGAGCACCAACCACCAACGACTACCCATTCCCACTCGACCGCTCGGTCTCGAAGAACCCTCCGGACGAGCGGGGCCGCCGACCGTGCCGTCACTGCGGGAATCCGAAGCACTGGGACCGAGATTGTCGACATGCGCGCAAGGGCGAGAAACTGGCACGGGTGAACCTAGCGAGAAGTCCTCTCAGCGACACTGAAAGAGCGGGTGAGCAAGAGTATGAAGAAGCTTACTTCGAGTCCATGGACGACGACAACGACGACAGCGATGCAGGGACACCCTACCCTTCATCGACGGATTTTTGAGCGCACCCTCGGCCTCTGACGCCTTTCCTCCAGATCCTGGAAAAGCGCCGTCACGTTCGAGGGAGCAGCCTGCGGTAGAAAGTCAGACCTATATCGCGAGAACCCAGAATGCCGTGCGTCGAGAACAGGACAATTTCGACGCTACCTTCTGCTCCGCTTTCAAAGCCCATGCTACGGAAGAAACCGACAACGTCATACCTCTCAGGAAGCATATGACACGACCGCCAGGATGTACCTTCCTCGGCGCACAAGCCACCACTCTTCCAGTACACCTCCACGACCCACACTCCACTCCTGTCTCTGCTATCATCGACTCCGGCTCCGACATCACGCTCATATCACAGCGAGCGTTAGAAGCAATACCTGACGGACCGCGGCCGCGAACAGGACAGAAGATACGATTAGTACAAGTCACAGGCAACGCAACGATTACCGGCTACGTACCACTGGATATCTATTTCGCCACTCAATCCCGGAGTCTCGTCAAACTAACCGTGGATGCCTACGTTGTGAAAGGCATGACGGCACCCTTCCTACTGGGAAACGACTTCGCAGATCAGTATTCCGTATCCATATTGCGCGAAGAAGGACGTACCCGCGTAACCTTCGGATCATCAAACTTGTACGCGGACGCTCAGAACTCGGTCGGGCAGCCAGTCCTACTCGACGAAGAAGGGCGATCCTTCCGGGTGTCGGCAAAGGTAGACGTCGACGAACCCGAAACCCTGAAGCCTAGCGAAGAAGTACGAGCGAAGGAGGAGACTACCATCGGTCCTGGACAGTCGAAATTAGTGGAAGTGACAGCCAGCTTCGAGGAACACGGCTCACCACTTCTCGTTGAACGAATGTTCAACTTCACACGGAATGTCGAAGACGTTTACGGTGCACCGGACACGCTGATCTCCTCAGCATGCCCACGGATTCCAGTCGCGAACTTCTCGTCGTTCCCAGTCAAGATCGGAAAGGGGCAATTACTAGGAATTGCGCGCGCACCAGAGCAATGGCTGGATCACAAGGGTAGTTTCTCCGTGGAGGAGATAGATCGCATGACTGCACACGCCAACCTAGTACGACATCTTGTCAGTCAACAACTTCACGACAAAGGGGTCGGACTTACTCGAGCAGAACCCGAAGGCGACCTAACAACCGCACGAGCTAGCAAGGACGTGGGAGAGGATCCACTCGCAGAGGAACCTCTGGAAGGCGGACCAAAGACTTCCGAACCACCACCGGACGATGTAGCGCTGGAAGAATTTCTGTCGAACCTAGACATCTCGAGCGAAGTCAGAGGGGAGGATAGACAACGTCTCGTGGAAGTACTCACCAAGAACCGAGCTGCCTTCGCCCTCGACGGACGGTTAGGGGAGGCGAAGAACACGGAATGTACAATCCCACTACGAGCGAACGCCAAAGAAGTCTCATTGCCACCATTCCCTGCATCCCCAGCGAAACGCGAAGTGATCGATCAGCAAATGGACAAATGGCTAACACTGGGGGTAATCGAACCGTCAATATCACCCTGGGGAGCCCCTGCCTTCATCACATACCGCAACAATAAGCCTCGCATGGTTGTTGACTATCGTAGACTGAACGAGATGACCGTTCCGGACGAATTCCCATTACCGAGACAAGAAGACATCATGAAGGAACTGTCCGGAGCACAATGGCTGTCGACAATGGATGCCCTGTCAGGGTTCACACAGATCAGCATCGCAACGGAGGACAGACCCAAGACGGCGTTCAGAACTCACCGAGGTCTATATCAGTTCACGCGAATGCCCTTCGGCCTACGAAACGGGCCGAGTATCTTTCAACGCGAGATGCAACGCGTACTCGCTCCCTTCCTATGGATTTTCGCACTCGTCTATATAGACGATATCATTGTGTATTCAAAGACCTTCGGCGAACACGTCACCCACCTCGATCATGTCCTCCTAGCCATAATCCTCGCGGGCTTGACACTATCACTCCCGAAATGTCACTTCGCGTATCGTCAACTGCTCCTACTAGGTCAGAAAGTATCACGACTCGGGTTATCAACGCACCGAGACAAAGTACAGGCCATCCTTGATCTCGCACCGCCCAAGAACACAGCAGAACTGCACACGTTCCTGGGAATGATGGTGTACTTCTCGTCATACATACCCTTCTATGCGTGGATAGCGGCACCACTCTTCAATCTCCTGAAAAAGGAACGCGAATGGGAATGGGAAGACGTTCATCAAGAGGCGTTTGAGCTGAGTAAACAAGTACTCACGCAAGCCCCCGTTCGTGCACACGCTATGGCTGACCGTCCATACCGTGTATATTCGGACGCCTGCGACTATGGGTTGGCGGCTATCTTGCAACAGATCCAACCCATAGCCATACGAGACCTGAAGGGGACCAAGTTGTACGACAGACTGCGACAAACATACGAGAAAAAGGAACCCATACCTTCGCTCGTAGCGCAAGTTGCCAAGGGAGATCCGGACGTCCCTCCGACAGGTGACTGGGCAGAGGACTTCGAGGACACAATCGTCCACATCGAACGCGTCATAGCGTACTGGTCACGAATCTTGAAGCCAGCAGAAAGAAACTATTCCGCTACAGAGCGCGAAGCGTTAGCACTGCGAGAAGGACTAATCAAGTTTCAACCTTACATCGAGGGCACAAGCCCGATCCTTGCGATCACGGACCACGCGGCGCTGACCTGGGGGTGTTCCTTCCACAATGTCAATCGTCGTCTGCAGACCTGGGGAACGACGTTCGCTGCATTCCCCGGATTGCGAATCGTACACCGAGCTGGCCGAGTACACTCCAACGTAGACCCAGTCTCACGCCTTCGTCGACGCGTACCAGAACAGCGAGGGCCAAACGAGTTGGATGGTGTGGTACTTACATTGGGAGAACAAGCGGAAGACATTCTGAGGAACGCGTATGAGGAACTGGGTCCAAGGTTTGAGGAGAAACTGCTCACCGTTGCGTCCAAACACGTCAAGACCCTGAATACAGCAAATATCAGGGCCATCAACGTCGACACGGCAGTCGAGGACGCATCCGACCTGCCCAACTCGGGATACTGTGCCGCGACTACGCACTCGCTGCTGATTGGTTTTGCACCGGAGAACGCGGAAGCGTGGAAGCTTGCCTACCTACAAGACGAGTATTTCACGTCAGTATTGGCAGCGATACGAAACGACGATCCCGAGAAGCCTACATACTCTCAGTACTACCTCAGCGACGACGGGCTCTTGTACTTCGAGGACTGGAACGGGGCGAGCAAGCTGTGTGTACCGAAGGAGCTACGCACACAAGTGATGAGAGATTGCCACGATGAGAAGACAGAAGGAGCTCACGGAGGATATCACCGGACGTACAATCGCATAGCAACGGTTTACTTCTGGCCGCGCATGTGACCCCCTTCCCCCTCTGTAGCCGTCGGTAACGGCGGTACGACCCCGTCATGTTGCCGTCGGTAACGGCCATACGAGCTCGTACGAGCTCCGGTCGTGTAGACCGTCGGTAACGGTCGTACGAGCTCCGGTAGTGTAGCTGTCGGTAACGGTTGTACGAGCAGTGGTGGAGAAGTAATATACAATGCCAAATGTATCATTCTGGCTGTCGTTTGCGTGCTTTGAGGTCCTCTAGTGTGCTACATACGCGCAAGAACATCCCGCAGCCCCAGGGAAGCCAATACCGGGCTGATATAGCAGGGGATGCTGGTTCCGGTAGTGGCACGTCCCACTGCGTACATTGTGCCCTACTGCACCGTACGTTTCGGTAATGCGTTCGCTACGTTCCCCTGGGTCATACGAGCTCGGAACAGTCGTTTTTATCACCGTGCGTGCTGTGGTTGGCGCGGGGCATTGAAAACACTGCCCAGACTCGTACGAGCCTGTAGCCGTCTGTCACGGTCGTACGAGGCACCTGCGGTGTGCACCCGGAATATTGCGGTAATGGATTCGGCAGATGCGCGTGGTCGTACCGAACGTGGCGCATCCGATTACATTACCTTGCATGCTGTGGTTCACCCAGGGTAACAAAAACACTGCCCAGGCTCGTACGAGCCTGTAGCCGTCTGTCACGGTCGTACGAGGCACCTCCGGTGGGCACCCGGAATATTGCGATAATGGATTCTACAGGTGCGCAAAACCGTACTGAACGCAGCGCGCACAATTCCATTGCCGTGTGTGTTGTGGTTACAGAGGGAGAGTCAGAACAGTGCTCAGGCTCGTACAAGCCTGTACCCTGTCTCAGACAGTCGTACGAGTACCTCCGAGAGAGCGGACACCCGGAAATCTCGGCAATGCATGGCGTGCATTGCCGAAGGTTACCAGAACGCAGCAAACCTTATTTCGTCGCTTTGCGCACTGTAGTTAAGGCAGGAGAGTCAAAACAGTGTGCAGGCTCGTACGAGCCTGTACCCTGTGTGAGACGGTCGTACGAGTTGTTCCCTGGTGAACCTCGTTTTTTTTGGTAATGCTTTCGGTAGATGCGCACGGATAAGCTGAGAATACCGAACTCAATTTCATTGCTGTACCTGGTGTAGTTAAGGAGGTATTGTCGAAACAGTGTGCAGACTCGTACGAGTCTGTACCCCGTCTGGAACGGTCGTACGAGGTGCTCCTGGTGGGTATCAAAAATTTCCGGTAATGCATGCAATGCATTGCCGGAGATCACTGGAACACAGCGCACTTTGTTTTATTGCTGTGCGTGGCATGGTTAAGGTGGCGGAATTGAAACACTACAGAAGCTCGTACGAGCTTGTACCCTGTTTGAGACGGTCGTACGAGTTGTCCCCTGGTGAACCTCGTTTTTTTCGGTAATGGGTTCGGTAGATGCGCACAGGTGTGCCGAGAATAGCGCACTTGATTTTAGTGCTGTATATGCTCTGGTTGTGGCAGCGGAGTTCAAACAGTGCAAACACTTGTACAAGGTGTCCTCCAGTAAACACCCACTTTTTCCGGCAGTGCATTCATTACCGAGATTCCGGCAGTCCCTCCATTACCGAGTGTTTGGTCATCTGTGTGTATTACCACTCTCACAACCGAGGTTTTGACCACCTGTGCATATTACCGCTCTCACTGCCGAGTTTTTGATTGCCTGTATTCATTACCGAGTTTTTTGCACCCATTGCCGAGTTTTTGATCACCGGTATCAATCAGCAGTCCTCATTACCGAGTTTTTGACTGCCTGAATCCATCACCGAGTTTTTGGTCACCTCCGGACTTCAATGCCGAGTTTTTGACCACCGGTATCCATTGCTCGTCCTTCCGACTCCTCATTACCGAGTTTTTGGACACCTCCAGCCTTCAATGCCGAGTTTTTATTACTGAGGTCTGTAATCCCGGTGCTCACTGCCAGTGCTCTTGCTGACCTCTGGCCTTCAATGCCGAGGTTTGAATACCGAGATTGGTAATCCCGGTGCTCACTGTTGGTCCTCCGGCCTTCAATACCGAGTTTTTGTTACCGAGGTCGGCAATTGTGCTACCAGTGGTGCTCACTGTCTCAAACAGCGAGCTCACTGTCAGACACAGTGAGCTCAACATGTTACCCATCTCTGTATCTGTCCCTCATGTTTTTGGAATGCACCTCTGCATCACATCTGAATGTATTGCAGCACATTACAGCATATTTATATGAGTTGGTCTGCCTGTACTGAACACCTTCTACCTGAGAAGTCACCCTTCACAGCAGCATGTGTAGATGTTATTTCACCTCGCTGTTTTTTGGATCAGGGAGGAGCATGCAAGAGCTGTGGGTTTGCAAATTTGGAGGGCAGTAGCTGCAAAAGTGAGAGAACAGTGTGGTATGATATTTTAAAATGACATACCACACACAGAAATGGGATGGGAGTGTATCACATTCCGAACACCTGGATATATTCATAGACGATATTATGAATGCAATGCAGAAGAGAGCGCACAGAAATCAGGATTTCCGATGAAGATACAAGATATGTGTGGAAAGTGGAAGTTCTGAGAAAACACGACATGCATAAGTTCATGTGCAGACATGATATCAACATGCTGTTTGCTGCATCACAATTGGGTACTATTGGGGTGCTCAGATCGGAATTTCCAAGCTTATCGGTGATGAGATGTATATGGGGCATCATATGTCATTATTTCATGACATACATTATCCTGACACAGCATATGCTCCGATTAGAATGCGAAAACATGGAATAGAACAGGGTAGAACATAGCTATCCAACGCAGAAAAGACCTTGAAAAACGGTTGAGAATCAGTGGAGATGTGCAAGGTGAGCCAGAAGTGTGGTTGCAGTGAAAGCGAGGTCAGAGTACATTCAGCATAAACCACACTTCTGGCTCACCTTGCACATCTCCACTGATTCTCAACCGTTTTTCAAGGTCTTTTCTGCGTTGGATAGCTATGTTCTACCCTGTTCTATTCCATGTTTTCGCATTCTAATCGGAGCATATGCTGTGTCAGGATAATGTATGTCATGAAATAATGA